CCTCAATTATATTACTCGGATATAGTTCACGCAATTCGGCGTTGTGTAACCGTCTGAATTCTCCGGTTAATTCAAAATTCTTCGTTCCGAAGATTCTACGCAATAATTTATTTTCAAAAACCTTAAGTCGTTGCTCATCCCTTAATGTAAGCGGCCACGTTTCGCAACCATAAAGAACTGTAGGTAAGACAATGGTTTTATAGATTATAATTTTTAAGTTCCGGGACAAGAGTCGCGAACTAAGTAGTTTTGTCAAAGAAAAATAACAAATATTTCCCGACTTCAGTCTAACCTAATCTCTTCTTTAATTTCGTTTTTTCAAGTTATCGTAGACCCTAGATACCTAAACTTCTCTACTTGTTCAAACATATTACCATCTATATCGATATCACCAGTAATATCACCATTTTTGCAGCTAACCATATATTTTGTCTTATCCGTGTTTTTTTCGAGCCCTACTTCTTTACTGGCATTCATTAACGTTGTCGTATTTAGTTTTATAGTTTCCACATCTTCGCTCAACAGTACCAGATCATCTGCATAACCAAGCACGAGTGTTGTCCCACCCAGATCTAATCTTTTTTCGGTACACATTACCTCCCTAATGGCATGTTCTAATGCCAAATTGAATAGGACAGGCGAAAGGGAATCCCCCTGTTTCAAACCGGAACGAACCTCAAACAGATTATTACCGATTCTAACTTTATTGAGTGTTTCCGTCAAGAACATCCTGACTAGATTTACTAGTTTTTTGGTAATCCCCTGCTCGATTAGAATATTATAAAGAGTCTGGCGGTCAATAGAATCGTAAGCCTTTTTGAAATCGATATACAACTGGTGAACAATACCGTTGTACTCTAATTTTTTCTCTAATATTTGCCGTAAAGAAAATATTTGATCGATAGTCGAACGATTCCGTCGAAATCCGCATTGGTAGTCTCCGATAATTTCCTCGGCGTATTCCGTGATTCTACTAGTTAATATTAAAGCGAATAATTTATAACATACCGGAAGGAGTGAAATTCCTCGATAGTTATTACAATCCGTCCTCGGGCCCTTTTTGTGAATCGGAATAAGAATAGATTCTTTCCATTCTTCAGGCAATTTCTCATTTTCCCAGATCTTTTTAACCAACCGATGTATTTTGGAAACTCCAACTTCCCCGCATGCCTTAATTAATTCAGTATGAATATTATCGGTTCCCGCTGCTTTATAAGATTTCTAATTTTCCTATAATAATTTACTATAGTAATAATACACTAATTTTCCGATAGGTACGTCAACTTCCTCTTTACTCGGTTCTTCTATCAACGGTTCAGCACTCTGGTACTCAGAAGGAGGACACAGATCATAATTTCCCGTATTTAAAATATTGTCAAAGTGGTTTTTAAACTTTTTTCTTATGTCAACCGGATCGGTCAGAATATTGTTATTTTCATCTCTAATTCCAGACGTTACGGGCCCTAAACATTTACGTGATCTGTTTATACCTTTGTACATGTCTCTTTCGTTATTTTCGATTCTATTAGTTTCTATTCAATTTTTTATTTTTAAGATACTCCCGTTTTTTTTTATTTTTGAGCAATTTTGTCATTTCATTCTTTGATGTTCGGAAGTATTCCAGATTGTCTTGGTTAGGGTTATTTAGAGCTTTTAATTTAGCGGCTTTTCTTTTTTCGCACATGTTTAAGCAATCTTCATCAAACCAAGGTTTGTTATTCTTATTTTCCTGTTTTCCTAGACACGAGGTACCGACCGCTTTAATATTATTCCTGATTTCTATCCATAACTTGTCAACATCCTCGCGGTCCTCATCAGAAAGCTCTAAAGCTTCAAACCTATTCATAACATGAAGCTCGAATTGGGTTCTAATTGATGGATTTTTTAAATTTTTCTAAATTAAGATTCTCAAAATCGGAACAGTTTTATTTTCTCTTTTTTATAATTAGTTTTTGTCGAAGTTTTGCAATTACTAATTCATGATCCGACCCACATTCTGCTCCGCGGTAAGACCGTACATTAATTATACTGCTTTGCCAGCTATGTTGTACAAGACATGATCGATTTGATTCCGTGTTTGCGAATCCGGCGATGTCCAAGTATATTTGTGAATATCCTCATGTTTAAACGTACTACTTTTAATTATCAAGTTTTTCGAGATGGCAGTTTATCTAACGGATCCCATTATCACTACTATATTCGTGCAAACTTTCTTTACCAATTGTCGGAACATTAACTTCTTCTCTTCCCACCTTTGTGTTCGCGTCACCTACAATTGTTTTCATAGAGTTTCGCGGTAGTTTATCATAAACCCATTCGAGTTTATCATAAAATTCACATTTGACTTCATCGTCACTGTCTTCGGTAGGGCAATGTATATTTATTAATGCTATTTTAAACCAACGTCCCTGAAATTTAGGTATCGAAATTCTATCACTAAAGAATTGTTCGTCCTTCAAAGCTGATAGCAATCTATTCCTAATTAGAAAACCGGTACCTGAACAATAATTCCCGCTTCCTCCGTATCAAATAGTGTACTTTCCTTTCCTCATCGAGCCCTCCCTTGGCCAGCGAACCTCTTGCAGAGCCATGACATCCAAATTGTACCCATTAACCTCATTCGCGACCGATTTTAACCCCCTACTGTGTTTAAACTCCTTACGTTCCACGTACCAATATTTAAATCCCTATTTTTCAACTTGCGCCATGAATCCCCTAAAGCAGTCCCCACCCGGAGACCCGAACGGAGGACTAGTTTACCTCCGGATAATGAGCGTTTTACCTTAGGGAGATCCATGACTATATGTGGTGTATGATGGACTAAAGATATGTGATTAGGGCGTTCAATCCTATGTCACACCCACCATCAAGTCTGGAGGTCCCCTCCCTCCAGCAAGTCTGGAGGGCCCCTCTCATTGTTGGTCAGCGAGTCCATCGGACCTAGCCGGGAGGAACTTCCAGGGAACTTTCACCAACCATCCCCACTTCCGCTACCCGTGGGACGCTTCCCTTACGCCGTAATGAGCCCGCGCGAGGAATAGGAGGAGGGTTGAAATATAATTTATTCATTTAAAAACATATCAATGAATTACAAAATATTAACTTAGAACATAGTGGTAACCTTTATAATATAGTACTATTATTATTTTATTAATATATTATCACATATCAAAACATAATATACAATTATTAGAGAGATGCACAGGACTGAATTCCATAGGCTAACGGAGAGGTTTCTAAACGTTTTGTCCCACGAACCACATTGAGACCTCCACTAAGTCCTGCGGGCCGCATTGTGAACTCCAATAAGTTCCGTGGGCCAGCATTTGTGGTGGAAAAATAAGGTTTGTTCAATAATGACACTTCAGTTGTGATATGTGTTTTCTAAAAGAAACAACATAGTCAAGAGTCAAGATGTGTCATAAATATTCAATGATATTTATATTTGGTGACTGAGGAGGAGTGTGGAGCTGTCTTGTAACATTAAATATTAACCACTCCTTTGTTCTCCTTGCAGTATGTTTTGGATCGTTGTCCTGCTGGAAATAGTACTGATCCTGGATTCCCATTTTTTCGGCACTAACACGCAAATTACGTTGCAAAATGTCCACATAGCCTTCCGCATTTAAAATGCCTTCGATGCTCACAAGATTTCCCACGCCATGGTAGGAAACACCCCCAAACCATAACATTTCCTCCACCATGCTTTACAGTTGTTAAAACATTTTGCTTCTTTAGGGCGTCATTAGGATGTCGCTACGTCGTCCTTCGACCATCTAAAACAAACAAATTAAATTTGCTTTCGTCAGAAAAGATTACATTTTCCCAAAAGCTTAAGGGTTTCTGTACGTACTCCCTAGCAAAAGCAAGGCGTTTTTTGCGATTCGTTTCACTGATGTATGGCTTCTTTCTTGGAACTCTACCATGGAGCCCTTCCGAATTAAGGGCATATTTAATTGTTCTGCTAGTAATCTGAACTCCAGACGTTGATTGGACCATGGTAGCCTGCTCCCGAGAATTTATCAGAGGACTTTTAAGAGCTTCTTTTCTGATTTTCCTCTTCAGCCTGGGAGTTTTTTGGACGCCCTTTACGCTCACTGTTTTCAGTTGAACCACGTTCTTCATACCTTTTTTATGACGTATCTCACTGTAGAAAAATTCAACCCTAAGAAATCGGCAATTTGGCGATATGTTTTTTGCTGACTCCTCAGTAAAACAATTTTTTAGTGAGTTGCGGCACACAGTTCACTTGTCTTCTTTGGCATGATAATTGTCTATTGACTAAAGGAAACTGATTGAAAGACTAGAGAATACTGGTAATAAACGATTAGAGATAAATTAGTAAACAAACCTATGACCTATGGACACAGGAGGATTACTGTCAAAGTAAACAGAGCTTGTGAGGCATAGTGTGCAAATACTTTTTTCCAAGCACTTTTATTGTTTTAATTTTTTTGTTTTATTATGGAGTGTTGTCATTTTTTTCCAAAAGGTTTTTTTCAGTTTTTAACAAATGTACTTTTCATTTTTGCAGAGGAAAGCGAAGTTTTTTGGTTCCTTGAACTCATTTATTCATAAAAACATGATGTGGAAATACTTTTTTCCATCACTGTAGATACTGTGCTGTTTCCGAATAAGCTACATTTGTTATAGATGTATAACACGAAATGCTAGATAAGATAGCCTTGTTTTACTCTGACAGTTCATAAATTAACTTTAAATTAATTATTTAAACCTAATATATATGTATATAATAAAACCTCGATTTTGTACTTTTAATATTCTTTACCAAATATTGAAAAATCCCAACTTTAATTGCAATAAAAAAAGAGAATTATTACTTATTTACAGTGAAAAATATTGGAAACATATTAAATAATTGAAAAATGATATGATATAGATAAAAGTAAAAAAACAAAACAAATAACATGTTCAGTACGATATTAACTCTTTGTTCTTACTTGGGCGGAAGAAGGTTACTTTGTTCTATAGAAATGTGTTTTTAGTTAGGTTTGTTGACAAAATTTTGAAATGGGGGTTCCAGCATTTTTTAGATGGTTGACCAGAAAATATCCTTCCGTGATAGTAGATTGTATTGAAGAATCGGTATATTTGTTATCTATCTTATTACTATTAGTTCATTTAAATATTTGACTTATTTAGTTTAAATAATTGTCTTTAAATACCTCAATAGCTATAATCTGTCAAACATTAGTTAAACCTTTGATTTTTATTAGTCCCATATCCTCTCATATTATTATTATATTATATTATTGATTTTGTGTGTGAAATTATCTTATGTGTTTGTGTTTGTTGTGACACTGTATTCTTGTGTTCTTTCTAATAGACAACAGCCTTCTGAGTTACCACCTTATAGGTGTCTACCTTATAGGAAAACGTTATTTGTCCCAATTTCTAAATATTTATCCTTTCTTATCTTTGCACATTTACGTTGTACGATTTTGTATTTTTAAAATTTAAGTGGTAAATCATCTAGTCCATCAACAAAACCTTTTCTGGACATCAAACGAATTATACCATGAGCAGGTTTACCATCTGGAAGGATAATATAGATGTATTAACTTTAAAACACGCATATGTATAATTATTTGTTCATGTATAATCTATATACTACTAATATTCTTTACATTTATTAGTTGTTATAAAGTAATATAGTTTGATAAAAACCATACTGTTAGATTTTTTAAATGTTTCAAAAACTCAAATTAAATACCAGTTTTTACATTAATTACAATCATTACTGAAATGATTAAGATAGTTAATCATAATTTGGTAATAATAACATCAAGTAATGTTGTGTCTTACCTTTCAGAAACTTCAAATTAAGAATGAAAAAAAACAAACATTAAACATCCATTGTTTTTTCCATATATTCTTCTATAAACCAATTGCTTGAGTAGGACTGGTAAAGCATTATTTTTATTTTATTTTGAAAGAGGCACTGTAGGGCTTTCATCAGTTCAGGTCCCCCGTATTTAATAAATTCTGGCACAATATCATACCTACCAGCTGCCTTACCATTCTTTAGTTTTTCTACTGCACTTTCGACCTCTTCCTCCCAGATTATCTCGTCAAATTCTTGTAGAGGAGTTTCACACATATCCAACTTATTGTCAGCATCATTGCTTGAGAAAACGCCCTCATAGTGGCGTTTCCATCTATCCAGAATTTCTGTATCTCTGGTGATTAATCTGCCTCTTTCATCCTTTATATTTCTTATGGGCTTACTTTTCTTTGTTTTTATTGCTTTAATTTTTTTTTCAGAAAACCTTAACGTTGTCATGGTAGTTGCTCTGTAGGCTCCTCCCGACTCTTCCTTTTTGACTCTCCAACAACTAACTTCGCCTCATTTTTACTGTGTACATAGAATTCCCAATTTACTTACCCAATGTCTTATCTCTAATATAGTCCTTCCAACCAGTTTTCTTTCTTTTGACTGCCGCCTTCACTCTTTCATTCCACCATTCTGATCTTTTGCTTTTCGGTGAGATTTTTTTGATCCCGCAAGTCGTGGTTGGTGAGTCCATTATTGCATTTTTTATTTTTCCCACAGAACGTCCACATTTCCATCCACCCTGACCTTCTGGATATTGCAATTAAGAAGTTCTCTATGTTTCTTTTTGTTTTCAGGTGTTAGAAGTTTCTTAATGTTAATCTTCATATAGCTTCTGGGCCAATTCTTCTTGAGAGAGAAGATTTGAGTATCTCCTATAAGGAGAAGGTGTTCTGAGCCCATTTCGCCACCTCTGATTACTTTGACTGTATATAATGTAGTCTATTATACTATTTACATTTCTTAATTCTGCAGAGAACGTTATTTTGTGGATAGAAGGAATTTCCAATGAGTAGGTCATAATCAACACAGAAATCTATAAGCCTTTGTCCATTTCTATTTCTTGTGTTCTCACCATGATAACCCATGGCTCCGTGTCTGTCCAACTCTGGCATTGAAATCTCCCATTATAATTATGTCTCTGTTTCTGTTTTTGCCCTTTTGTGACTTCTTTTTCGAGATCTGTATAGAATTGTTCCTTATCTAGAATATGTGCATCTTCTGTTGGTGCGTAGATCTGAATCAGAGTTACTTTACCAATTGACAATTCTATATTTGCTATTATTATTCTGAAAGATATAGGTTCCCATTCCTCCACTTTGGCAAGTAGGCTTTCTTTCATTATAATCCCCACTCCCTCTTTTGCTTTAAAACCTGCAGAAATCCCAGAGTAGATGAGTATGTGTTGCTCATTCAGATGTACTTCTCCATGCCCTTTTTTCCTCACTTCACATATGCCCATTAGATCCACACCATATGACTTCATCTCCTCCACAATCTCTGTTTCTTTGCCATTCAATGTTTTAATATTCCATGTTCCAATTCTTATGTCCTTTAGAGCACTGTATCGTGACCGATTTGTCCGTCCATTTCCGAGGCAAGTTTGTTTGCTCTTACTCAGTTTTACTACACTACAGGTGATTGGCCCAGTAATAGAGACCCCGTTACCTCGAGACGACTGGGGACAATTTATACCCTCGTTCACAGAGTCCTCCCAGGATAGGTGACCCTAGAGTGTGTAGTGTATGTGTATTGTGTACTGTTTTATGTGTGCTTGTTCAGTCTACTGAACATGGGAGACCGTGAGAGCATTAATGCCTTGCACATCAGCTAGTCCCTGCAGGCTAGCTTAGCTTAGACAATACTTAATTACTTTAATTAAAAAGATATTTAATAAAAGTATTAAATAATGTTCATACAATAAAAATATATACAGTATATGTTTTTACAATAAAAAATAACATTAATACAATTATCATTTTGTCTTATGCCCTATTATGTATTTATTTTTAACAGTTTCATATTTTATTAGTTCAAGGTGTGATTGTTTTAGGGAGAAGATGGAAAAGAAGTGGATTCCTCTAAGCCTAATCCAAATGGAGTGGAATTCGATAATTTATATATTGATATGAACGGCATAATACATCCTTGTACACATCCAGAAAACAAGTATGTAGTTAATTTTTTAATTTTTAAAAATTAATGGTATATTTGTTAGGACTTGAGCTAGAATTCATGCCTGAGGTTGACATTTACGAATGACTGACTTAGTTAGTTTCTTAATCCAGTTGACAGACAGTAATCCTTGACTGTCAAAATAAAACAGAAGATCTGATTTATAGGCTTCCAGTTGATATGTCTTTACAAACAAAGAGTAAATTAATAATAGCCTAATGTCCGTTTAAATATTATAAAAATTCATAGTTATAAATTTGGTTGAAATCCGGTTGAGAATCAGTTAAGCACTGACGAACCTGAAAGATTTTTGGTCAGGTGGTGATGACCATACATCACGATCTCATGGACCATGTTTCCTATGATGCAGTTGTATACTACTCGAATCTCCGCAATCATTCCTAATTTGGCAGTGTTCTCACAAGACAGTATTAAACAGGGTTTTCAGAAGTCTTGAATATTGGGAGTTCTGCTAGATTTTTTGCTTAAGGGAAACATTCTGAATTATGCTTGAAAACAGTTAGTAACCAAAATTTTTCAATTTTTAGTCTAATTATTATTTAGGGAGATCCCTTATTTCTTGGCAAAGCCGGTGACAGCACATTCTCTGAACCTAAATCAAGGGTAAGGCAAGAAAAATTTATTCTGTGATGTTCATAAATTTTCTGACGATACTCGCAGTTCTGAGTAACACGACTGTTAAGCTTCCTCTGAGTTTAAATTAAACTTGAATGAAGCTTAATGAAAATGGTTGGTAAAAAAAAAAAAAGAAAAATTATATAATAAAATATTGGACTGTAATGATTTGGGTTAAGCATTTATTTTTCAATAATTAAACATAATAATAAGGAGAGGGAAAAAAACGAAATAAATTCAACTCCCGCGAAAATGAAATAAAATTATAACTTCTAATAAATCAAAATAAAGATAAGCTGAATATAATGATAATAAAAACAATTAAGAAATATTTAATAAAATAAAATTATGTTAGACTATGGAAATTAAATAGAGGAATGATATATGACTGGCACAAAATTAAAATCAATAATAGAGACAAATGAATAAATATTAATAGCCCTAAAATAAAAGTTATACAAAACAACAAAATAATAAAAGTTGTACAACGCTATGTAGTTTCAAGCGGGTGACAGACGTAAAACTAAACTAGGACTGCAGTGGGCAATTTAGAGGTTGGCAGCACTGAGCTCACGGACTCAGACTGTGTAAACAGACCGAGTCAGACTGTGTATTGGCCAAGTCCACGGACTTAGGGCTTGAACCTAGGACTTATTTATAACTAGGGCTACAATCCATAGCAATATATATAAAAACTATGAACCAGTCTATATTGAATATAAGCTATGGACCTATGAACAATATAATTAATAATTGATTTCGTTTTGATGAAATAAACCAAATCATCAATTAAATAAAATATTTTTTTTAATAAGAAAATAAAAGAAATTAACGCCTGTGGTGTTAACCACGGCTTTCTGCATTTGTTCCCTTCATGCAATAGAGAAGTCCAATTCCTTCATGTAGTTCAGTCATGTCCGGAATCAATCTATTTACAGAAATGACCAAGGATAAAACTCCCACTTTATTAAGTTCATACAAATATTTGAGTTCCTCAACAAAGTCCTGATATTTGCAATTTTTTTCTGCAACCACCTTGAGAAGATTATCATCCGATGGTACTCCTGTTTTGATAATATTTGCATGTTCCTCTTCTTTTAAAATAAATAAAATGTCGGGCATGTTTTGCCTTCTAGAAAGGCACAAAAGTAAACTTATCGCTGCCGAAGTGAAATATCTGAGAAGAGTAGCTGGCCGAACTAGAAGAGATTGCATCTGAAACGAATGGAATTAGAGAAAATGTTAAGGTGCCACCAATGCTGGAAACCATGGAAAAGAAAATGCTCACGTGGTTCGGTCATGTTATGAGGATGGGCAAGGACAGGCAACCCAAAAAATTTTTTGAGGCTAGACCCACAGAAAAGAGGCCAAGAGGACATCCACGAAAAATTTGAATTGACGAAATAACCAAGCTCGGACAGAAAAGAGGCGAGCAGTTGGGTTATATGAGAGACCGTGATGACTGGCATAAATGGGTGGAGGCCCCTCCATGCTGAAAGGCACTGAGGAGGAAGACAAAGAAGAGAAGAAGAAGCAAGTTGTGCGGAATAGTGTGATCCATTATAATAGCTTGGTCCCAGTATAGCTTTGACGTGCCACTTATCAATAATTGGCTGTGGTCTATAATTGTAATAAGGGCAAATGTGTAAAATTCCAAATTTCTTGGCTAATTCCTGGTGAAAGATCTTTGCCATATCATTGTGTTTATGGAGATATTTGTTTCCAGCAAGAACTTGGCAGCCTGTTGTTATATGCTGAATTATTATTATAATGGCGCTACAGTCCTGCAAGAACCCGGACCTCCTCCCCTACAGCCACCTAATCTCCGTGGTCTTGTGCTATTTCACTCAATCTTTGAATGCCCAGTCGCCTCAGATCATTCTCCACATCCTCCAGCCATCTGATCTGAGGGAGTCCTCTACCTCTTTGGTATTCTTTAGTTGGGCATTCGTTTCACATGACCTATCTATCTTATCCGGACTCTTTTTATCAATGCCAGAATATCAGGTTCTCTATACAGTTCCCGCAGCTCCTCATTCTTTCTTCTCCAAATTCCATTCTCAGAGATTCCGTCCCATATTCTTCTTAATACTTTTATCTCTAATAATTTTAGCCTGATAAATAGTACTATTGTTTAAAAGATTTAGAAGAGTATTGATGTAGTGTAGTTGTCCTTACAAATAAGTAAAAGAAAAATATTAAAATGTGCCTGTACTCCACCGTAATTCAGTGAATGAATGCAGAGATCAAATAACATATAATGATACAAATAATCAAACTTTAGCCATAAATTGAGTTTTAAAAAATTTAACTGTGTGAAAACGCGACCTGGCCAGATAAAGTGGTAGGCTTAACCGCAGTTCACGTTGCAGCTTTTAATGCACCATTGCTATTGCAAAATTATTTGTTTTGGAATGGGGCTAAGTTTATTTTATTCAATTAATTTGGGCCTTTTTACACCTCTTCTTTTAATCATTTCCTTTATTTCACTGGTCAGCCAAGGTGCAGTAGGATGACGTAAGGTTCTGGCTGGTTTTCAAAGGAGCATGGATGTGTAATATGGATAGTAGGTTTGAGGTCAGGGCGGATAACCATAGGATCAATGAAGTTATAGGAATATATGATGCCCAATTGGAAAGAATTGAGGTCAGGTTGAAGGGATTCATTGGAGGTAAAGTTTGAATTGCGGTATGAAACTATTTTAGGAAGTGAAGGATTTCATGGATAGGTTGTATGTTATTTGGGTCAGGTCATGTGATGTTGAGAAGAGGAAAGGATTTTGATAGAGTCAGAGATATAGAAGTCTAAACAAGTGTTGGAAAACTGCGTGTGATGGATAGGAGAATAAGGGACAATATGAAGATTACGGGAAAACAGCAGGTCAGTAAGGAAACTTTTTTCGTGAGATTGTGTAGCATATTCACGTTAAAATCACCGGTGATGATAATATTGGAGTGATTGGAAACCAGATTAACATGGGAACATTCAAAGGGTTGTTAAATGGAACACGAGGAGGGCGGTAAATTACGGCATACAACAGAGGGGAGGAAAGAGACGAAATTTCAACTAAAATGTATTCTATGTGAGGAGTCATGAGAAGGAGAATGCAGAAGGATTGTGGCCTGAAGACTGTCATGGAAATATAATCCGACACCACCTGTGCGATGAGATCTATTGTGACTTAAGAATGAGTATGGGTAGGAATATCTTGGAGGAATGGTTAAAAGGTTTAAGCCAGGTTTCAGATAGTGCTATTATGTGGTAAAAATTGCCAAGAAAATATTTCTAGAATTCATTGTAGTATGCAATAACGGACTGTGCATAGATGCGACAATAATTCAGGATATTAGTCATAATTGTAGAATTTCAGGAAAAAGGATTGAGGATAATGGATAGTATAAAACATTTTTTAAACAAAATATTCCATTTAAAAGTAATAATAAAAAAATTGCAAACATAAAATAAAAGTTGAAATGAAAACAATGCATTTCCAGTATTTTGAAATAAATATCAAGTTAAGAATAATTTATAGTATAAGAAAATATAAATGAAATGAAAAAATAATTTTATTCTGGGACTACTGTCCCCTAACAATAATAACAGAGTTACAAATTTATGTATCTTAGTCTGACATAATAAAAATATCAACTTATTTATTCTTAATTGTTATTTCAATTGTGAAATGGATTGAAGTTAAACTTTGTATAGATGCAGGTAATTTTACATGTTAGGGGAAGTTTGAATGTGGAGTAGGTGTTGGAACAGGAGTTCCATAAGGAAGCAGCACGAATGACGAAGGATTTGCTGAAGGAGGAAGTTTTATGGGAGGGAATATATAGCATTTCCAAGTCAATTTCAACCTTTTCCAAATCAAATTCAACCTTTTCCAAGTCAAATTAAACCTTTTCCATTTCAAATTCAACCTTTTCCAAGTCAAATTCAACCTTTTCCATTTCAAATTCAACTTTCGAATTTTTGTCAATTTTCGATTTTTTTTTTAAATGAAGGCCACTTACTATATTATCGAAGGCATAGCTTTTGAAAAATACAAAAAAAAATTTGATAACGCGGTTGCATATCTTTATTTTAACATTTTAGATTTTTTCAGTGTGATATTTCTATGTCATATTCAATTATTTCCAAGTCAAATTCAACCTTTTCCAGATCAAATTAAACTTTTTCCAAGTCAAATTCAACCATTTCCATTTCAAATTAAACCTTTTCCAATTCAAATTCAACCGTTTTCATTTCAAATTAATGTTTTAATTTTTTGTAAATTTTATATTTTTTTTTAAAATAATGGCCATCCCCTCCCCCCCACCAATATGAAAGTCTATTATTATGCTCTCCTAAGTAGA